CGAGATCTGAAGAAAGAGAAAGAGAGATAGAAAGATAGGGAGAGAGAGAAAGAGGGAAAGAGAAAGAGAGAAAGAAAAAATTTTCTTTTAAGTTTTAACATACGATTGATAGTAATAATTATAATTTTTTTTGTTTTTTTTTTGATAAATTTCTCGTGTAAATAATAATAATGATAATAAATAATAATAATAATACTGGGACGATATATTCGTCGATTTTATTTTTTACTTAAATTATATATATATATATATATATATATTTTTAAAATAAAAATTTTTTACAAAAGAAAAACTTTTTTTTTTTTTGAATTCTCCACACGATTCGTTAATGAGGTTGGATTATTTAATTAAATAATAATAATAATAATGATAATTTTTTTTTATTATATAAATGTGGTAAAAACAAACGAGACTTTTTTTTAATTTTTTACTTTTTTTATTAACTTTTCAATCCGTCGATTTTTTAAAAAGTTTTTATTTTGATAAAATGAAAAGTGCCACTTATGTATATGTTTTAACTTAACCTGTCTTCTTTTTTTTTTTTTTTTATATATTTATATAATTAAATTGTACATAAAAAAAAAAATTTTGCCTTTTTCTTTTTCATTCACGTACTACCTTTTTTTTTCTCTTAATTATCATTATTATTATTATCATTTAAAAAAAAGAAAATTGTGTTAAAACAAACAGGGGAAAAAAAAATTGTAGAAGAGAAAAGAAAAAAAAAAAAAAAAGAATTTTTTCCTCTTGTTTTAAAATCATCATCATTATCATCGTCATCATCATCGTCATCATTATCATCATTATTATCACCATCGTTGTTAATATTAAAATGGCGATGATAATAATAATGATAATTTATATATATATTTTTATTATGATTTCGACGAAATTAATTTGTGTGGTTTTTTTTGTTTGGGAGGGGGTGGGAGGAGGGGTACGAAACGAATGTTTTCGGTTGTTTTTTTTTAGGGATGAAGATTTTTATAAATTATACAAAATACATATATATTTAGGTATGTGTGTTTGTCGACGAATATTACGTACGATCCCACCCTCAGGCGTACAAACGAAATAAAATTTCTTGTTTGTTCACATATATATAAAATACGGAAATTCTTTGTAAATATTATTATTATTATTATTATTATTATTATTATAAAATTGTTATTAATATTAATAAAACTAATGGGAGGAGTGTTTGTGTTTTTTTACTCACAATAAATGTTATTATTATTATTATAATTAATACCCTCTATGATTTTTATTATTTACACTATGGAAACCGAAATCGCAAAAAAAACGGAAATTATTTCGGTAATTTTTTTTTTTTTTTAAATTAAAATTTATCATAAAGGTTGTTAATGATAATCGTTTGTTTTTTCAATTTGTATAAGAGAGAGAGAGAGAGAGAGAGAGAGAGGAAGAGAAAGAGGAAGAGAGAGTTAGAAAATCTTTTGATTTGTGTTTATAATCAAAAAGCAAAGTTCAAATAAATTATTATTATTATCATCGACGACGCCATTTTGTATTTCATTTAAATAAAATGAAAATAATAAAAGATTTTTTTTAAAAGACCTAATTAGGGGGGAGGGGAAAGGGAGGAAGGAAGGAAATTCGAATTTTTCTTTTTTTTTTATTTAAAATTTGGTTCTTTTTTTATTAAAATTATCGAATTTCACGTAGTAGGAGGAAAGAAAGGAGGCGGGGAAATGGTAGGGAGTGGGAGGAGAGAAAGAAAGAAAGAAACAAACAAAAGACGACGACGACGACATTTTGTCATCATTCGTTTGTTGTTTGCCCAGTTTTCTTTTTGTCAAATGTCAACGAAATCTTATTATTTGTCACTAAGTGAATTTAATATTGCTTTTGTATAAAAAAAAAAAAAAGGAAAGAAAAGGAAAAAAAAGGAAGAAAAAAAGGAAAAAAGGAAATGGAAAAGAGGTTGCGGCAGTCTCAGGTGTGTTTAAACTTTTTTTTTTTTTTTTTTTTTTTTTTTTTAAATAAGGTGGTGGAATGATCGTCGTCATGTCCGCCATTTTCTTTTCAGGTTATTTAAAACCCCGAGCGTCCAGAGAAATTGAAATCTTTAAGCCTTTTTTTTAAAACCGTTTTGAGGGGGATGGGGGGAAGGAGGGGGGGTAAGGCGCGGGGGGTCTAGTGAGAAATTTAAACGAATTTAATAAATTTTATTGTTTTCTGACCTCATCATCTTATTTATTATTTAATACTAATTTTCAATTATTAATTAATTAATTTGCTTCGAATAAAATTAATTACGCGGCACCATTTTAATATATTTATATATATAAAATTTTGAATTTATTTTTCTTACTTATTTTTAATAATAATAATGATAATAATTTTATGTTAAAAATTTATATAAACGAAATTTGTTTTATTTAACGAACAAACAAACAAATGCACAAACGCACACGTCGTGAATTATTTTAAATAATTTTTAATAACGAAAAATTCGTTCGAAGCGTTCGAGTGTTAACGTACGCGTATAAATTATTATTATTATTATTATTATTATTATTATTATTATTATTATTATTATTATTATTATTATTATTTTTATTATTTTTATTATTTTAATGAATTTTAAATTTTTTATAAAAAAAAAATAACAACATACATAAATTTACAAAGGATCGAATTTCATAAGAGAGAGAAAAAAAAATTTTTTTTTTTTTTTTAATAAAATTAATGAAAAGGAAAATGAGAAAAAAGAGAGAGAGAGAGAGAGAGAGAGTGAGTGAGTGAATGAGGATGTGAGAGAGTGAGAAAGAGAAAAAGTTAAAAATTAAATTTTATAAAATCGAAAACTTTTTTTTAAAAAATCATAAATTTAATAATATATATATATATGTATATATAGAAAAATTTTATTTCAAAAAATTTGTCTTCTGCTTTTTTCATTTTATTATTATTTAAAACAAAAAAAAATTAAAAAATTTTTTTTTTTTAATTATTTAATTAAAGGACGCCATTTTTAATTTTTTTGTTTAATGGAAAATATCAATTTAAAAAAAAAAAAGTACGAAGACAAAAAAAAAAAATTATAATTGTTATTAATTTTTTTTTTTTGCTAAATTGCACGACAGCATCAACAACACAAACAACAGCAACAGCAGTAGTAGCAGAAGAAAAAATAATAGCATAAGCAAAAAATAAGATAAAACTTTTAAAAGTTTTTTTTTTTTTTGGTGAGTGTGTATAAAAACACATAAACCTTTAAAAACATAAAATTTAACACAAAAGTTTTTAACAATTTTTTTTTTCGTTGTTGTTGTTTGGTTGTTTGTTTGTTTGTTAATGCATTTCACAGAGTTTGTTTTAAGTACCTGATGAACCATGTCTTTAAATATTCTACCCGTTAAAAAAAAAAGAAATTTTTTTTTTTAGTTTTTAATTTAAAACCGAACAACATAACTAATTAGTGGTTAAACTCGTTTGACCTTTGACTTTATTATAAATTTTACCTTTTTTTTTTAGTTTTCGTATAAACATAAACAAAATGGAAAATTTATTAGTTTTAATATTAAACTACGAAAAAAAGGAAAAAAAAAGGGAAAGGAAAAGACCCATTTTTTTTTTTTTTTTTTTCTTTTTGTAGTAAATTTTAAAATCAATATGGCGGAATCCGTTGACATTGTTTTTTTTTTTTTTTTTCTATTAATAATAATAATTCGAATTAAATTTTTATTTGTTTAAAAAGTGCGACTAATTTAAAAAAAAAGAAAAAAAAGAAAAATTTTTCCAAAAAAAAAAAATGAAATTCAAAAAGTTTGTCTGTGTGTGCAGGTGTGGGTGTGGGGAAAAGGGGCGCGCTGGTTAGCGGG